TTGTATAGACATTGGCTAAAAGACGTTTTCAATAAAAAACACCTTTGATGAAATAGGGAAAACTTTTAAAAAAATCTTTAACTGTAAAATATGTAAACCATCAGAGAAAATTAATCCATTTGGCATTTTTACATGATTTAGAAAAAAATGTTTTCAGTTTATTGAAGCAAGATTCAACAGTCAATATTAATTTTAATGAGGATTTCCTTTCTTTTCTCCGGTTTACTTTTCGGACAAGTCGACACGGCTAATCATTGACCTAATGGACACCATTTTCTACATCTTTTCATTTTGATTTTAATAAAAATCAATTTTCAGTTGAGTATAAATAATGATGAGGAAAACAAATAAGTACTGTTCTATATTATAAGAGAAATTGACGGGATTGTGATTGATTGATTGATTGTATGTTGTTTAACGTCCCTCTCGAGAATTTTTCACTCATATGGAGACGCCACCACTTGCCGGTGGAGGGCTACAAATTTTGTCCTATGCTCGGCACTCGGGGCCTTTGAGCAGTGAGGGATCTTTTTCGTGCCAGCACCTACTGCGACAAGGGGCCTCGGTTTATATGGTCTCATCCGAAGGACTGGTCTCCACGTCCCGCAGTGGGATTTGAACCCGCGACGTAAGGATTGACTCCTTACTTCGCCACTCTAGAGCAGACGCTCTAACCACTGCGCCACGCAGGCGAGAACGGGATTGTGATAATTAATTCAAAACTTAATTTAATATCTAAATATTTAAGAAGATATGTAATCTTCGCCATAATCATAATGAATGGAATATTAAAAAACGCAGATAGCTACTATTCGTAGTGTCTTGAGAGAATTCATATGACAAGAGCATTTTTATTCTTCTTGCAAGATATCGTGTTGTTTTTGACATGGATTTTAATAAATGTTTTGATCTTGTTTTTTTCTCGATAATTTCAAGCAGGCATAAGGCCGAGAGAAGGAAGAATATGGAGAGAACGAAGGGTATTCATTCTCAAAGCCAATACAATAAAAATTAAGAGCAGAGCAAACACGGACCTCCGAAACATCAGAGGTGGGTCGAGGTGCCATGGAGGAGTGAGCATCCCGTGCTGACCTGTCACACCCGCCGTGTGCTCCTTGTCATGATCAGGAAATAACGGGAAAATTCGTCGTCAATTCAGTGTATAAATAATGGACTAACAATCGGTATGAAAAACGTCAGTCAGCATTTGTCTCAATGATAAATTGTATTTGTTGACAAGGTTCTTACAAGGTATCGACCATAGAACTTACGAAATGACGACTTTAAACGAGACTGTTGATATTCTTGTTTCATCAACTTGCTTGTCAATAATTCACCTCGTTTTAGAAATGGTTCATACGTAGAGCTCTTGCGTATCGAATCAACTGAGATATATACACTCCGTATGCAGGTTATTAAGGAATATTGCTGCATAAGTAAGGGAAGTTGACGATAGAAAAGTTTAAGTCGTTACGTTTATCATATAGCTTGGTTGTTAGGTTACCATAAACGTCTATTTCAAGTAAAATATCCAAGTATAAAACAGATGTGTACCAGCACTGAAACAGCCATCTTGCGAATAAAGCAGACGTAGAAGCAGTACTGGATGAAGGTGATGCCATGCTCCTTGTCCTTCTCGACCTGAGTGCAACATTTGACACCACTGATCATACCCTCTTACTGGAGAGACTACATGTGGAAGTTGGACCGACGGATACAGCACTCCGTTGGGTACAGTCTTACCTGAGTAGCCGCACTCAAGCGGTAAAGATTAACAACAGTGTGTCCTCAGATGTGCCACTGTCCACTGGAGTGCCCCAAGGGTCTGTTCTCGGTCCCTTCCTCTTCCTGGTGTACCTTCTACCACTCAGGAGTCATCAACCAGTATGCCATTAACCGGCATGGATTTGCAGACGACACTCAATTGTACAGCCGTCTGAGTGTAAAAAATAATGTCATGCGTACGGAACAAGTCAAGGTTATGGAGGAGTGCATAGCGAGTGTCCGAACCTGGATGACTGTAAACAAACTCAAACTAAATGATTCAAAACCCGAGATAATGGTGATTGCCAGTGCCCATAACCAGTACTGTGTCAAGGACATCCACCTGAAGATTGGCGAGGCAATAGTGACATCTCAGTTTACTGTTAAAAACCTCGGTGCTGCCCAGGATGCCACCTTATCAATGGAAACACAAGTCAACTCCATGGTAAGAAAGATATACTTCAACATTAGGAGAATCTCCAAGGTGAAACAACATCTCACCCAGGAAGCGTGTGCAAAGGTCATCAATGCAACAGTCGTATTCCACCTTGACTAACACAATGTCCCTCTGCTTCGCATAACCCATCGAACTATGCACAGGTTACAAGTGGCTCAGAATAATGCTGCACGTTGTCTCACAAGAACATGTTACAGACAACATATCACGCTATTAACTGTGTTGCGCGTGTTGTGTTTAAAGTGCTGACTACCATGCACAAGTCTCTACACTCCTCCTCAGCACCACCATATATGAGACAGTTATGCCCTACTTATCAGCCACAAAGGGCTTTAAGATCATCGTCTGACAAATGGAAGCTAATAGTAAAAAAAATCGAATAGTAAACAAATATGGGGTAAGAGCCATAAGCACAACTGTGAAACCACCTACCATTAGAACTACAAGAGCTTGAAACACATAGAGCATTCCGCAAGAACCTAAAAACACTCTTGTTCAAGCGTGAATATAACCTATGAATGTAAAATTCCAGCACAACATCAAGAACTCCACGTGTAATCTCTCGTAAACTCAACTTCAGAAGTACTATCCTGTGTATCAGTTTTATTTTCTTTTTTATATTGCCAATTTCATCTTACTAGCATGTTTTATATAAAGTCTTTCTTTGTTTATCGATCATTTACTTTTAATTACAATTTTTTTATTGATATATTATTATTAAATGTTAGCAAAACCATTGTACAACGCATAGAAACTATATGTGATTTTGCGCTATATAAATTAATAAAATTAATGTGTCAGACTTTGTCGTGTCTTCAATCTCAAGCTCTCTTGGTTATATCGTATCGACGTAGGAATGGAAATTACCATTGTTAATTGACAATACATCATCGATATATCTGAAAGTCGAGTTGAAGACCACAGCAAGTGTTTTCTTCTTTTCACGCATAACATTTTGCATAAATTCTGCTTCAAATGAATACAAAAATAGGTCTGCTAATATCGGAGGGCAGTTGGTACGGAATCCAATAGATTTTGCAAATGACCAATGACCAAGTAAGTAAATCTACGAGTTCCATTTTTATTGAAAAAGCAGCTGTCAATGATATCAAAAAGCTTGGATTTTAATTTGTCGTGGGGAATTGTTGTGTATAAAGTTGAAAAGTCGTAAGTTTTTAAGCTGTTGATTTTTTGTGAAATCTTGTGATTTCAAATTCTCCAAAAGTTCTTCAGAATTTTTTAGCATCCACATCTGATTCACACAACTTGCACAGTACTCTTGAAGTTTTTCCTTCACTACTGTCAATATCTAAGTGAGGAGTAACAAAAGAGGCTTTGTTGAACATTTACTGGAACCCGCACTGGATAAAGATCCAGTTTAATTAAAACTTATATTTAACCGTGTTATTGTTGCAGATAATAGTTCCTTGAAATATATTAATATGTTACAGAAAATCGTGCGTGTTTGTTTACATGATGTTCAAATCGTGTGTACAAGGTTTATCTAAGATTGGAAAAAAAGTCAAAATAATAAACGTCCATATTTAGAACACAAGAAGGCGGAAAATAAACATGCACATCCGATTAAATAACACCACCCCCGTAACCCAACGCCGGGGTCCTATTCACAAATCCTATCACCTGATTGCATGTGCAGTGTTTCATTTTTTGTAAATAAAAATGGATTGGTATGTCTGAAATATCATTAAGATCAATCGCTTTACTGACAACGGGGCTGATAAGGTTGAAGGGGATGGGGGTAGGTAAATTTTAAAAGCATAGATATTGACAATACATATGAACTTTGTGTGATTGTGTTAGTCATATAGCAATGGTTTTAATTGTTTACATTACGAAAAAAATGGGCGTTCAGATTTTAGAACGCAGTTCGCAATGCAAAAGTGCATTCTAGAACGCAGTTCGCAATTCAAAATTTTAACAAAAGTTATGGGGTCTGAAATTTTGAGGGTGAAATACTAGGAGTCATTTACCACTTCTATGAAAAAAAAATGGTGGTGTGACCATTTCTAGTTTCCGAGATATGGCCCTCCAATTTTTAGCCCTACTATATAATACTTTATGAATATATGATAGAGTTCTAATGGTTGCAGAAAGTGTATATTACCATACTTTAAGTTTTAATATATTTTTGATTCAGCCAGGGTTTCAATTCTTTAAACTTGGAAATATTTTATTACAATTCTTGTCTTCAAGGCACAGGTTAAAGGTAAATAAAACTTAAATATGAAGCAAATAAAGCGGTTGTCTTTATTTTCTAGTATGTTAAGTATTGCTTTTTCAACAGGTAGAGGAAATTTAAAAAAAAATTAAAGAAAATGTTTTAAACACTGACAGTAACAGCGAGATTAGCCATCCAAATGGAGCATCGAAAAATTATAAAATATGTTTTATGTGGGTGAAATGACCTAAGAGATAAAGCAATTTTACCAAATGACTGAAAATTATTAAAAGATAACTTCATTGGTTTGAAATAGGTATGCTAGCATATACTTTTTCAACAGTGTGCAAAATCTGGAGGACAGTACATTGTTATTTTATGAAAACAAGATATTCCTATTCATGAAGTTGTTACAAATCTAGTGCAACTGCGAAATGGTCTGCGTACATATGAATTTTAAAACTGATGACGCCTGTAAATTATATTGTATTCTTTTGAATTAGAATTGTAATCAATTAAATTCAATATAAGATAATTGTTACAAAATATAATGTTTAAGCAGTCAAACTATTTTAACTTGGATTTTCACAATAAATATCTTGGTAAACAATGCATATATCTAGCACCATTCAGTTTGACATTAAGTTTCAGTTTCAGTACAATAAATGCATTTTGATTTTCAATGTTGACTACAGAAAATAATCGATAAATATAACCAAATAAAAATGTCACTACTGTATATTTTTTACTCTTAAAAGACAGTCACGTGTAAAACTACAAGTATGAGTTTATAGTAAACGCTATGAACTGCCTACACTACAAAAGTGAATAAAACAAAGGGTAATACTAATTAAAATAACATTTGTCAATGGATATTAATGTAAAGTCAAAATTCAGTACCTCTGTGTATTTTTCAGAATAAACTAGCTATCTATTACAAATACGTCTTATGTGTGCTCTTTGATATTCGGAGAATTGTTCATCAATACTCAGAACACAATCTCTAGATGATAACTCCTTCAGTGTGGGATGGAATTCTATGGAAGTAAGTTTACTGGAGTTCAGACGACCGTCCTCTAGTATCTGAGAGTCGGGATGTAAGTGGTATATCACCACAGCGGTTCCTGCAAAGATTTGTTCAGTTGAAATACTAGTGATTAAAAGTAAAAAAAAAAAATGAGGCATCGTTTTATAATAAATTTGAATGACATATCTAAAGACAACATAAAGTGATCAATCAAAACAATCTCAAGCAATACAAACTTGTAAACAAATCATAACACAAATTTTAATATAGCTGTTTTCCCTGTATATCTCAGAGTCAAACTTAAGCACTTGGCATTCCCAGTTATAGCCTGAAAGATACCATATTCTTTTTCTCTTTCCTTGAAATACTTACGACAATTTGCAACAAAAATTTATGACATCAAAGTTGCGTCTCCTACATGTATTGTCAATAAAATAATCTATATTTAATGCATATTTCACATCATACCTCCCATTTTCATAATATAATCGACCGTCTCCTTTTTGATTTGCTGTGGTTCCCTGTCCCCTTCCAGAATTATATTACGTTCGTTAAAGTCAACAAAAACCATAAAAACCTAAATTACAAAGATAAAAATATTTTCACGATTTATAAAAATGTATAAAGAAAAATACATGCAAAAAAACTTTTCTTAATTATTATATCCTTACATATCATTACATCTATTATATGGTAGTACCTTAGCATGGATTTCCTGTATGTCTTTAGAGTTTCTGATAAGAATAGAATCAAAGTCGTCGGTGATTCCTCTAACTAAATCCTCATGAGAGGTTTGACAGGCTAAATTAAAGTTGATAATCACTGGAACTTTCTTTGTTGGAATACTTTTGTCTCGCCCCCTAAATCGTATGACTTCAATTTCCCTTTTCCTCTGAAAGAAATTGTATTCACGTAATTTGCGATTTAGCATTCAGAAAATAGGAAGAATTACCTGAAAATAATTATATCTGATAAGTTTCTTATTTACGTGTGAAGAATACAAATGCATTACAGAGTTGTCTCTCCATGTTACTTTGACGATGTAGATAAACAGTATTATTATGACACAAAGCTGTAGGATATCCACTGCAAAAAAAGGAGGAAAAAATAATTTACAAGATAAAACACTATAATATAATAAAAAATATTTGTCTTTAGGCGTGCCTATTGCTTTATTGTAGGCACAGAATAATATAAATGATTTCACTACATGAAATATATGGAGATAACGAACAATATTCAAGATCAAAACTCCATAAAAACGACACAAAATAGGAGCAGAGCAAACATGGACCTCCAAAATACAATGAAGCGCATTGAAGTGGTTAAATTTTCTGTTTGGATGAAACTTTCTGAGTCATGTTTTGAACGTCAATTATTACAGAATGACACGCCCATTTCTTTAGAAACGAACAAGTCATATTCGTCGTAATGTTTTAGGACACCTCACTTTTTTGCGACAAGCAATACGAGTTTCACTGAAATGGAGATTTTTAAAGTTATAAGAGAGATTTAGAGAGTTCCAGCTTCTGTAAAACACGTATTGCAACTCAGCTATGTTAAAGAAGGTCAAAGTTCACATTCCTGGCACACCATATTGGAAGTTTTATTGTGACGTAATTGAAATTTAATAAGCCACAAAAATTAATTAAAGACATGAGCATGCGTAAACAACAACTTGCATTTATTGATTTTATCAATTATTTATAAAATCTTGTAAAATTGCAATACTTGATAGCAGTATAGTTGAGTAATAGAAGAAAGTCTTTCGTCAAATATGACGTCATTTGCCTTGACATGACGCAGGACAGGTGATCCATAGGACTAGATCCACTGGTTTAATATTTACAATAATGCTGAATAAATTTGATATAATCGCTAATTTTTAAACCTAATCATTAAATTAAAACTAAATTGATTGATTGATTGATTGATTGATTGATTGTATATTGTTTAACGTCCCTCTCGAGAATTTTTCACTCCTATGGAGACGTCACCATATGCCGGTGAAGGGCTTCAAATTTTGACCTTTACTCGGCACTCAGGGCCATTGAGCAGTGAGGGATCTTTATCGTGCCAATGCCTGCCGCTCGGTTTTTAAGGTCTCATCCGAAGGATCCGCAACTTTCACTTCAAAGTGCCGAGCGCATGGCGAAGTAACAGTTGCTACCCATTTTTTATCGACTTAGGTCAGTCGCAGCAGAGATACGAATTCACGACCTCCCGATCACGGAGCGAGCGCTCTACCGACTGAGCTACCGTGAACGGTATAAAACTAAAAGAAAAAAAAATCTATTTAATACAATTTGTATAGAATATGAATTTATCTAGTAGCACTGGGGCTGCACAGGGACAAGGAATGTAGAGAATATCGCTAAAACGATCAGCGTATTTACATCAAAAGTGCAAGGGCATATTCTATTTTGTTTGAGCTGAAAGAACAAGGTTCACTTTCGCATTATTTGGCCCCGTGAATTTCTGAAAAACTAAAACTTCATAGTTTTAGTTAACAATGCATTAAAATATCACTTAGATCTTTGGTGACTGCGATCCTATAAAAAAATGACGTCATTTTCTTTCTAGTCAATGCATTATGACGTCACGAAATGCGTCAATTTCCTAATATTTCGAAAAAGTCTACAAAAACGGCCAATTTTTAAAGTTATTTTTTGATATTTGATATAGAGCGCAACCTCTGATCTAAAATATGCAACTAGTAAATGATAGAACTGTTTCTGGGGATTCATGGACATGTTTTATTTGTTAGATCAGAGGGTGCCCTCATATTATTTTTCTTCACTGAAAGTACTCAAATATACCTGTTTACCTAAAATTTCAAGAACATTGCAATTTCATAAAGCCAGTTCTCCAAGACCTGGACTTCGAGGAGAATTTTTTAATAGGATATGAAAGCACCAAGTCTCTATCTTATTTTAATACTTCAAATAGAAAATCAAGTGTTGATCAATTAATTGGTATATCTACAGGGCCATTTTATGCATACAGTGAACCGACTTCTTTGGAATATTTATTGCTTATATAGTGTATATTTTGAAAAGTGCTGGGAGCTGATCCTGGTCTGCATAACATTGTTTTTATTTCTAACAGAATTTGAGCGATGTGGAAATTTTTAACTATCATAAGCATTTTCTGCAAAATTTTCAGTACTTCGCAAACAGCACAGACTAGCTTCCAGCACTTTTTAGGTAGAGGAAATAAGCATCTTTTAATGTGTATCAATTTTTTTTCTTGATAAACAGGCGTATGCCCTTGCACTATTCTCATTTCCTACATTCAGCTTAACAATTCTATTTTTTATACAAGTCACAGGACAAACAGCAGATACATGCGATATAATTAGTAATAACTACGGCCCAGTCCTATCCGTTATTGATAGCTTTATTACATTTTCTGCAAGTATTCAGTTGCTTTGTTGAGGGAAGGATATGGAGATAACGAACAGTATTCAATCTCAGAGTCCATAAAACAATACAAAATAAGAGCAGAGCAAACACGGACCCCCGAAACATCAGAGCTGGAATCAGGTGCCATGGAGGAGTGAGCATCCCCTGCCGACCGGTCACACCCGCCGTGTGCTCCTTGTCACGATCAGGAGATAACGGAAAAACCCGTCGTCAATTCAGTGTATAAATAATGGACTAACAATTGGTATGAAAAAAGTCAGTCAGCATTTGACTCAGTGATAAATTGTATTTGCTGACAAGGTCATTGTATCGACCATAGAACTTACGAAATGATGACTTTAAAATAAACTGCTGATATTCTTGTTTCATCAACTTGCTTGTAAAAAATTTACCTCGTTTTAGAAATTGTTCATACCTGGACCATGTTCTTGCGTATCGAATCAACTGAGATATATGTACTCCATATGCAGATGATGAAGGTATATTGCTGCATAAGTTAAGGGAAGTTGACGATAGAAAAGATAAAATCATAACGTTTATCATATAGTTTGGTTGTTAGATTATCAGTAGTGTCTATTTCAAGTAAAATATCCAAGTATGAAACAGAAGTGTCGGACTCTGTGGTACCCTTTATCTCAAGCTCATCAGGATATATCGCATCGACGTAGGAATGGAAATTACCATTATAAGTTGACAATGCGTCGTTGATATATCTGTTTGTCGAGTTGAAGGCCACAGTAAGTGTTTTCTTCTTTTCATTTTGCAAAAATTTTGCTTCAGATGAATATAAAAATAAGTCTGCTAATAACGAAGCGCAATTGGTACCCATGGGAATTCCAATAGATTGTTGGAATACCTGGTCTCCAAAAACCACATAGATATTGTCAATCAGAAACTCAAGCATCTTCTGAATGTCCACTTCAGAGTACTTATGTGTGCAATCAGAATCTGTTTGAACAAAAGAATTTTGCAAATGACCATTGACAAGGTAAGTAAATTTACGAGTTCCTTTTTTATTGAGGAAGCAGCTGTCAATGATATCAAAAAGCCTGGACTTTAATTTATCATGGGGAATTATTGTGTATGACGTTGAAAACTTTTTTTTAAGCTGTTGATTTTTGTTAAGTCTTGTGATTTCAAATTGTCCAAAAGTTCTTTAGAATGTTTTAGTATCCACATCTGATTCACACCACTTCTAGAATATATAGCTGCACAGTACTCATGAAGTTTTTTTTCCTTCACTACTGTCAATATCTTAGTGAGGAGTGACGAAAGAGGCTTGGTTAAACATTTACTGGAATTTGCAATGTATCTTTGTAAGGATTCTTATGAAGTTTCGGAAATCAATACATATAAAGTAGTTCAAAATTAATTTTGGCTCTGTGGAATATTAAAAGTATTTAAAGCTGACAGGTGATTTTGAAGAATTTCTTACTTAGAAAGGGAAGTATAAGTATAAGTAGGATTACCACTTGTAGAATTAAATCCAAGTTCTTCTAGAATGCAATTTATATAATGAGCCTTACAAACAAAGACAATTTTGTTACCTGCTTTGTCGGCAGGAACCAGTACGTACTAATAATGTGATCTATCAAATTGTTTTTTCACTTCCAGTTTATTGAACACAGAAGGATAGATGGTTTTCATATTGCCCCTAAATCTTTTAATACGTGACTTTAACATGGATCTGATACATTTAATCCATTTTGACAAGGTTTCAACGTCTTCTTTTTCATATCTGGCCCATCGTCTGGCGAAATTCTCAACAGAATCCATAATATTTATGAAATTCCGACGCCAGTTGAAGGATCGGGGTTCCCTATATTTAGGACCTTTTAAAATAAGTGATCTAAGGTCCTCATTACGAACTATATTTAACCTGTAATAACGTTTCCAGCAGGAGTATAGTTATAGGGCGAAGAAGAACATGAACACGAAGGAGGATTATGTTTCAAATGTTATAATTTTTTAAAAGAATTTATACATAGCAAAACGTTGCAAAGGTCACATTTTCCATATCAGTTCTTAACATAGCTGAGAACGAATCTGTACATAATTATGAATTTATAATATTTATTGGAGTTACCAAAACATATGTACTGGTCGAGCAAGTGCTTACTCTGTGTTTATGTAGACCGTCAATTTAATTGGATATTATTTTTATGGAATACCTGTTCGACTGGTATTCGAATGAAGCATTTGACCCATAATCAACGTTCTAAAGATAGCTCAAAAGATCCATTCAAACGGAAAATTTTACCACTTCAATGCGCTTAATTGTATCAGAGGTGGGATCGGATGCCATGATAATGTACATGTAAATGGCAATAAATACAAAAAAGACGTGCACATCGATATTGTTATGGAAGTTTTTTTCCTGTAAACATTAGGTAATTCGTACGTTGTAAGAAAACATTGTTCATGTTCATACAATTTCAACAGTTTTCAAAATTCTAAATGATTTGAAAAATAAAGTTTTATAATGATTCTAAAGACTGCCAAGAGAAAATTCATTGACTTC